ATATATATATATATATATATATGTGCCTCCCGCCAGCCTGGCTACACGGTGATAGTTTCTGGTATCCGTCCTCTCAGCCTTAAGATCGGGAGTGCTTACATTCTTTGAGCTCGTACCGTGAGCCGGGCAGTGATCTAAGAAGTACCTGCCTGTCTTTAGCAGGCACGGCAACTTTCTGAGCGGGGCCGTGTCTGATTACCTCTGATTCTGAGAAGTTAAGCAGCTTGCCTGAAGTCCCAGGGACAGTGGGTGACAGGCAGCAGCAGAGCTCAAGTGATCCCGTTTAGAGCCATGTTGAAACTGTGGCCAAGGGAAGTGGAGGGGTGCAACTGGATTCCCTCCCTGGCTGTGGGGGCGTGTGGGGTGTGGGCAGCAGGACAGCAGAGGAGCATGTGCGTGTGGCTCCTTTGCAAGGACAGAACGGGGGAAGACATAGTCCTAAGAATGGTTATGGGCAGCTGTGGAGCATGGCCCGAAGCCCAGGGCTGCATTAGGGGTCACGTGGGAGAGACCGGGCAGGTCACTGAGTCTGAGCAGAAGGACCCGACCCTCGGGTGTAAGCGCCTCTGAAGGATTCAGACCCACAGCTAGTTCTGACTTGGAGGTGTGTGTGTCTAGAGCAGGGGGACTTCCGTGCCGGGCTCCTGGGAGCAGGGATCCAGGTCAGTTTTCTGCTGTGCCCTGATAAGCTCTGTGTCCCCAGGGTGGCATGGTGGACGACAAGAGTGAAGATTCCATGTCTGTTTCTACCCTGAGCTTTGGTGTTAACAGACCCACGATCTCCTGCATCTTTGACTGTAAGTGACACTCGGTGGCATCCGGCTGGGTACGCACGGCCTCACACTTGGAGTGGAGTTCCGTAGTCAGGAGTGTGTATGTCGAGGCCTCAGCGAGTTGACTGTGTGTGCTTTTAGGCCAGCTGGGTCTCTTAGTGTGTATGCGCATGTGCACATGGGCATTTGTGTCTGTTCTGGGATGGGCTGTGTGCCTTCAGGTTCCTGTCACTGTGAGTTTGGTCTTGCTCTCCTGTCTTTTTCCCCGGGGTTGGATAGGCTCAAAGCATGCAAGCTGCTTCCTTGGAGCTGGGGTCTGCCCTCCTGACTGAAGAGGCTCAGTCTGCATGATGGCTGTTGCCATGTCCACAGTCAGCCAGGTCTGCTGCCCGGCCTGGGGCAGACCCTCCTCTTCAGGGAGCTCCAGCCCTTAGCAACCCTATTCACCACGTGTCCTCTCTCTTCCTCCGGAGTGAAGACGGGAACCGATACCATCTACGTTGCTACCTGTACCAGGCCCGAGACCTGCCAGCCATGGACAAGGACTCCTTCTCTGGTAGGTGGAGGAAGAGGAGGATCCAGGACTCCGCTGGGAGGGTGGAAAGTGTATGCTGTGGCTAGGAGGGCCCTTGAGTGGCTGTCTTCTGTGAGTCCAGGTCCTGGTGTCTCATGGTCTCAGGGGAGCTGCTCCTCATGTGAGAGATTAGTAGGATTTGGCTTGGCTGACTGTCCCTTCCTACTCAGGGACCGTTCTCTAGTGATGGCATCTAGTGATGTCTTTCTCTATACAGGTCACTCTGTGCAGACCCAGCTACCTTAGGCTCCTACCTTCCCAGACCCAGCTCCCTGAGGCCCGACTCAGCTCTTGCATTGCCTGCCTGGCATACAGCAGGCATACTGCTGTCTTCAGCAGCATCCAGGCCCTGATCCTTCATATCCAGTTCCCTGCCTGCTTTGTTCCCTTTCACACTGCCCCAACCATAACTGGACTTCTTAGTCCCCTGTTTTGAAGCATAGACCCTGACAGATGAACCTGCCACATTTGCCCTGTCAGACAAGCCTTTGACATGTGCTGACCATGGTCTTGCCTGTCTCATCTTGACTTGCACCCTTTATCCACGAGCTCCACCCCCACCAGCTTTGATCCACAATTGCATGCTCCCTGTGTGGGCCTGGCCTTTGTGTTTAATGTTTTCTTGGCCTAGAAGGCATTTCTTCCTCAATTTCAACCTCAAGACCCAGATCACACGTCCTCTGATTCTCCCAAACTGAGTTGGCCCCTCCTTCCCCAGTGCTGGACATTAGTACATCCCTTTGAGCTCCAACCCATTGTAGGGCTCAGCTGTGGTTTGTCTGTTGCAATCTTTCCATCAGCTGGGAGCTCACTCAGGGAGGCACCTCATTTCCCCGTCTGGACCTTCAGCACGGGGCGTCTAAAGAGCAGACACCAAAGAGCATCGCTGTGTACCTAGGCAGATATCGGCAGCTGGGTGTCACACCTTCTTATTTTATAGGCAAAAGAAGTGAGACGCGGGTGGGTTCCCTAAATCGCTTGAAATGAAATAGCTGACAGGTGACAGGGTTGGGAGTAAGGCCAAGGCTGTTCCCCTGCGAGCACCTACCAGCAGCTAAGGAGGACTGCATTCTGCGGCGGTGTCCTTCTGCTCACGGGACTGCACAGCTTACAGCCGCGTGCCCATCCCTGCAAGCCCGAGCTCCCCCGAATTCTTCCCAGCAGCTGTAGTTCACGGTCTGGTTCCTGTGCTCTCAATGACCTGCTCTCCAGCCCCATCAGCCAGCCACCCATGGCTGGAGTACTTCCCTTCAGGAGTTTGGAGCTGGGTCCTGAGAGAGCCCTTTGCACAATGACGTTGACAGGCTGGGGGCACTTAGATATCCATGGTGGCTGTGTCTATGACTCTGACATCAGAACTGACCCTGAGAAAACTAGGAATGGGCTTACTGCAAGCCCAGCCTTTTTCCTTTTAGCTGGGATTTGTGAGTGGTGGAAGGCCATTTGTCCTCTGGGAACCAAGCTGGTTAAGGACCCTAAAGGGCAGGGGCTCCCCAGGATTGCAGCCAGTGGAACCAGAGCTCAGCATGTGGATCATGAAGCCCGGTCAGCAGGCACTGCTCTGGGAGACGTCATACTTTCCACAGATGAACGTCCCTTGAGTTTTGAGGGCACTGCCCAGGGCTTCCTCAGAGGCCATGGGCTTCTGAATGAAAGGCCCGATTGAGCAGCGGCTGGAAAGGAAAACAGCAGCCAACACGGGGGAACCTATAAAACTCAGAGTGTTTATTTTCACTCCCAAATGCTAAACCAAAGCGATTTCTCCCCGGGAGCTGACCCTGGGGTGGCTGGCTGTGCGACGCTGTGCCCAGCCACTGGCTGGCATTTCTGAGGAAACTGATGTTTGAAGGTGGAACTTTGAGGTTAGGGCAGGGTCCAGCTGTGACTGCTGCTGCTGGGAGCATCTTCCAGCTGCTGTCCAGAGCCAAGCAGCCCTCTGCTCCCCACCGTATCCTCACCTACAGCCTGGGGGTGTGGAGTCTGGAGGAGACACTTGTGGGATGTCACTGTTCATGCAGCTGGAGTGAGAACTGTACCTCATTGGGGCCCTTGTGGCCACATGAGCTCTCCAGGCCCATTGAAGGTGTCTGAGGTGTGTGCCTGAATTGAATGTATCTAGGAGAGAAAAGGCAGACAGAATATAAGGTGCAGCTAATCCCTGTTGACGTCTCTGATATCATTAGTACGTGCTTTGCTGAGCTGACAGCTGTGACTCCAAAAGGACTGAGACATCACTTGCCATCAGCTCTGTTCCTAGCTCCATCTTGCTCGACCCTTCAAAGTAACAGCATCCTGTCATCTCCCAGCATGGTCCAAATCCACATGTTCCGTTCTAAGTACACGTTGAAGGGTAGAAGTTGTCTGCTTTGCCCCATCTCCACTGCGAGCCCTTCCCGTGTTGGATGGAGCCATGGCTCTGCTGACAACTGCCACTCCATTCAGAGGACAGCATACAGGGAGGGGTTCTTACAACATTTCTTACAAACGTTTCACGTATGTTTGTTATGTAGACTCTTTGAGGCCTCACAAGCCAGTGGGCTTAAAGGTGTTACTTACTCCTGGGCTAACCCAACTAAAAAGAGATGGCCCATGGGCCAGATGCTACATGATTTAGTGGCCAATGAGGTGAGGGATCCCTTATGAAGTCCACATTCCTCTGCTGGCCTGTGGGCCAGTGAAGGTGAAGTAATGTGGTTCTGAGAGATGTTCCTGCTCAGGCAGGTCACAGTGGGGTCTGTTGAGTCTCAGCTCACCTGTGCTGTAGTGACCTCTAGATTTGGGTGTCACTGGGGACTTCCTGCTCTTGGGCTTCTGATGTCTGGATGCTGCTTGGTCCTCCATCTTCTAAGCAAGGCTCTTTGTTCAGGTTGGCTCTTGCGGGGTGGGGGTGGGGTGGGGGATGGATTTGGGAAGGAGTGGAGGGTAGGGGGAATGGGAAGGGCTTTTCCAGACTGCACCGGGAGGCTTGTGAAATGCTTCACTTAGAAAGGGCTCCTGGGAGAGAGACTGGGAAAGGGATCTGGCTTCATGATGCACGGCAGCTTGGAGGTGTAGGGAGGTTGTAGGGAGGAGCTGTCTAACCGGTTCAGCACTCCTCAGGGCCTTCCCGAGAACTGGGAGCCTGAGTCTGGGACTCACGCCAGAAGTCTCAGCACCAGGCCAGGGCCTTATGGTACCTGCCCACCAAATTTCCTGCCGCAGCTTCCCGCCGCTGCTGCCCTCTTCTTGTCACTCAGGTCGGGTTGCTTTGCCTTTGCATGGCGGGCACCTGGGACACCTCATTTATTTATTTATTTATTTATTTATTTATTTATTTATTTATTTATT